TTTTTTTTTTGAGAAAACATTAAAAATATAGAATATTACACAACTTCTAATATTAAATTCCTATTCTTTTTGTCTTAGAAATACATTTAAAGTAACTAAAATAATATATAAATTTAAGATTTATAACTGGAATATTGATATTTGAAATTTATGGATACAGATTTATAGTTAACATGTTACATCATCTAATAAAATCACTCAATTTACTTTCACATCGGAAAATGTTAAATTGTGTATTCAAAGTTTGACCATTGCCTATTGGTTTTCTAATATATACCATCATCTTTTGGTATTTGATTAAAAGAGTCTATATCTATGGAAACAAGTTTACCTTCAATTTACTTTTACATAGGAAAATATTAGATTGTGTATTCAAGTTTTAATTTTTTTCTTCTTCTTTTTCTCTTACTTTATTACACACATTCTCCAAATGCATATTTCTTACTATGGAGTATTTTTTAACAATGATATCTCTGTGATTGAATTTTTTCTTCTTCCGAATATTTTGGAACTTTGATATGGTAAGAAGGGAGACAAACGTGTAATATCATGAGATGGAGGAGCCTACTACATGCCACGTGTAAACGCAGATTGCCACGTGGAATGGTGTTAACTATTTTACGGTGAACGAGAGTCTGACTTCAATGAGACGCGACGGCTCGCCTCATTCAAAGCGTTAGCACCTCACCGTCCACGTGTCCGGCTTTGATTTCACGTTTGATCGCTCTGAGATTTTATTCTTCTCCCCTCCTTTAACATTTACTATTGGCATTGGTAAGGAAAGTGCACCGCCATTATCTATTGGCTTCCACTTGAGATGATAGTTGTATAGTGGAGCCCTTAGATAAAACTATAATAATAAGAAATCTATAGTACCAACCACAAACAAATAAAAAAAATAATATTAATGGAAATGATGATTTTTTTATAAATTTCGTTTATTCAGATTTTGGATGCTTAACATAAATTCTACTAGTATATATAAAGTAGAATTTTAAAGATATAGATTATCATTTATCTGGACTTAAAATACATTCTTATTATAAAAACTTCAGTTAGAATTTTTAGAAGCACAAACACAAAAGAGGATATATTTAATCTAACATTTATTTATTTATTTT